CTTAACCTATTTAACGAGTGTGCGAAGTGCGAAGTATCCGAAAAAGATGCCATCACTATTTTTCAAACCTAAATTAGGGAATACAGGGAAGTAAGTTAAAGTTACGAAATACATCATTAAGTGTTGTAGTAGTACTGATAATTATATTGTAGCTACCAAATTTCTTTATAATTTGATAATTTCAGAATGGTGTGTTATTTAATGGTATGTAAGTTATTTATGTGTTAATTTTTTATTTAGAAAATTGATTAATAAAGCAACATTTCTTATCAAAATTCTTTTCATTTAAATTCCCAATTTCCAACAAATACTTTTGTTACTGAGTCTACAAAAAGGTTTGTAAAAATAAGGTCCTTTTTGAAAATTACAAGAATTATTGACATACGATTTTGTCATTAAATCTACAAAATGTTTGTTACAAACTACTTGTTTAATTAGTTTACAGATTCCAGTTGGTTGTAAACAGAACATAAAGTTATGTGGACCTGGATTAACCTAAAATCTGGTTAATATATAAATATATTTGGTTAAAATTAACAAATATTTTTTGCTGTGCATAACTAGGTAGTAATTTTTGGTAATTCATATTTCATGCACGCCCATAATTTTCCTGAATTCCACGCAGCATTATTACGACAGATATTTAAAGTGTGTGAGAATGCTCATTGAATAGTTCACAAAGTGCCTATGAATTCCATATTTGCCTGGATCGCTTAGAAATCACTTGAACCTCTCAATCTTCAAGATGACATTATTTACCGTCGTCGTCGACCGGCCCTTTGAATGAACAACGCAGAACTGGAACGGGGCATTATCTTCATTTAGAATTTTACGGGCATGTCTTTCCCATAACATGAAAGAAACCAAGTGACAGCCACATTATATTTAAATAAAAATTCCTTCACTGTTCTAACAATAATGTCTACAACATACGGGCGTAATCGCCCGTCTGTGAGATTATTTTTTCAATAATTTTTATGTAAACATATTTGATATAATAAAGGGGTTTAATTTCACATTAAGATAGAGCAGTATTTTACATGAGAAAATTCAGTAGCCACATTTCGGGATTTTTCAAAGGCTGTCCTATCAATCAAGTGAATCAATAGAAAAACATTCGAAGTTGTAGCGGTCATATTTATGAAACTAATTGGTTTCCACTTTTATAAAATTGCCGACCAAAGCTGCCGACGTATTGTTACCAGTGCACTTAAGTTAAATTATGTGTTTAAAAGAAAATAAGATTTAAAATATAGGCAAGTCTTTTGTAAAATTTGACATTTTTTAGATCAAGTTAAGGAGGTTATTTTTTTATTTTAATACAAAAGGAACTAACTATATATTGTAACCAAAGATCGTGAATTAAAAATCATAAAAATAGGATTTAAACGCGACAACATTGCGAGTTGTTTATAGTTGGTTTCTATGGTAACGCTTTTCGCTTTTGACAGTGGCAGTGACAGTTCTATATGCAGTTATTTAAAACTGAAGTCCAATACAAAGAAAAAATTACTAAAAAAAGGTATAGGGGCAAAAAATAAACATTAGTAGGATGCCTAATTATTTAAAAAAATAACTTAAGTTAATAATACAATTGTTTGTTTTTTAAATAATTTACTTTAAGAACGAAATTATGGTCACCGAATAAAGGGAACCAAATATGCCTAGATAATCACGTGTTCGTAATCCAGTGTTGCCGGATCATCTAGACGAGAATGACAGATTGATAATTTTGGTTGGACACAGTCAAGTGAAAAGAATGATTAAAATTAAACAAAAATTAAAATTACAAAATTAGAATCTTAAATTTAGTTACATGTTTGAAATTTAAAGATTATGATAAAAATACACATTTATCTTATAATTTGACTGAATTATGGCATTTTATCTACTGAATTATTTTAAATTATTAAAATTTAGTGGTATATTGCGTCAAATTATACCATAAAGGTGTATTTTATCATCACCTTTACAGTAATATTTTTTCACAATTTACATTTGACATTTCATCCGACATTTAAGTTTAAAGCGGTTTTAACTTTACTTTTCCCACTTTGACACCTGTCAAACCTTGTTTGCGGCTTATAAATTATAAATTTTCAATTTTACATTCACTATTCCACATGTTCACTAAGTATAATTTTTTATGTAAACTTGTCAAAATTGATAAATATTAGATATGTCAGATATCCAAGGCAATGTTGATGTTGACAAAATATGTATCGCATTTCTATTGTTTAATATATATCATTTTAGTACAGGTATATATCAAAACATGATTTATAAATTAAAAATTATTAAAAAAATCAAAAAAGAGCACTATAAATCGTTAAAATATCTAAAGATCTTTGGTTTATAGCATCAACATTTTTAGGTTTAGGTTTTAAAAAAATTGTCAACACATAGAATAATTAATATAATACATACAATATTTTGATGATTAAAAGAAACTGTTTTAAAATACACCTTTTTGTTTGTTTTTTATAACAGCTTATTAATTGTTATTATTATGGATTAGCTATTTCAGCTTATCATCATTTTTATCCTAATAAAATCTAATTTTGTCCTTAAACTTCAGTAGCCGAAGGCAATCTTTAATTTAAATGAACCGTTAAGATTATTTATGAAGGGAGCATACCTACATATTTACCTAATAAGTTTAATGTAGGTAACAAAGTTATTAAGATGTATAAAATTAAAAATAATAAAAACGACAAAATAACTAAAATATGGTGGTATTAACGATTTTTAGTAGGTAGGTAGGTCGGTAGGTATTTAGGTTTAAATTTACGATTTTTTTTCAAAAATATTATCTACTAAGTGTTGTATACTATAGTATCCATAGATATACTTATATATAAATGCAATAAAATAAAACTTTAGAAAGTTGCTATTGGAAGTAGTTACTACCTAAAGAAGAAATGCCCCTTAATCTAAATCTTTCAGATTACCAATGCATTGGCTCGTTACAAGTGAATAGATGTCAGGCATTAGAATACCTATTTCCAGATTATAATATATGCATATAGATTTAATGCCAGGCAGACCACACAATGCACCTGTTTCGCATGGAAATATTGTCACATTCAGATGTAAGACTAGATAGCCCTAATTGGACAACGCATACAATTTAGAATTAGATATATAGAAAATATATCTACTTCCCAGTATAAACTAACTTATACAGTTAGATGCCTATTATTTGTTTAAATAAAAAACTGTCTCAAAATCTGATGAGAACCGGAATGCCAACAATAAATTCTATGCAATTTATTTCTTGTGAATAAGAACCAAGATAAGCTAGTGTGTCTTGTTATTTTACCTATCTGACCATGCATTTTTTAAATTAGATTTATAAATTGTGCTCTACATAAACTAAACTGGGTAGGTACCTATATGTACAAAGTATGTCTTTCTATAAACAATATTAACAAAATTCTGTGATCCCGTAAATTATAAAATTAGTTATACCTACCTACCTACTTACCTAATTATAGCAAAAAAAATCATTTTGATATTATCAAAGCTTGCTGTGCTTTAGTGCGGCCATTTTTATAGAATGTTAATAGAACTAAAATACCTAGTTATTTGTTTTACAAGTGTTGAAAAGCGACTTTTACTTGCGAGTGTTTAAGTTGCTCACGAGGCCGTGTGCATTAACACGAGCTTAAAGAAAGCTTTTCTCACAACTGAAACACAATGTTTTTTCTATGACCCTTTTATTTTTTATTATATTCAAATACAAAACAAAATAACCTAAAAACGTGTTTGACAGCTGTTAAAACTCTTTCAACTTTTAATTTTTAAGGTATAAGGTATAAATCAATAAACTTACCTTATCAATTTAAATAAAGGCACTAAAAATTAGAATTTATTATACAAACACAATTAATTGTGTTCTAAATGATATTTAGACATACCTATACAAATACAATACAAATTTTGAAACGAATCTCAAACGATGCTGTCCATTTCTTTTCACACAGACCTGTCACTTTTCACACAGAAATGTCACTTTACATTTGTGTTTTGCGTTGCCAATGAAACGATTCATTTTCTAAGCAACGATCCTAATACGAAATGTGACTTTTACATAGTGGTCGTAGAAAAAACTATTTTAACATACCTTGGAGCCATGGAAGAAGGGTAAAATGCACACTTAATTTGAATTATCTTTTGCCACTTTTCAGGGTTTTCTGCAAGCCGACACAAAAATACCAAAATGGGGTATGTCCTGCCATCTATACTGTAACGTAAAAAGCTTTTACAGTTTCCTGTAACTGCTTAATATGTTTTTCGCAGCTTTTCTTATCTTTCTTTCACAGAACATAAGCTTTCTTTGATCTGCTTATGTTCTGTGTGTTGACGTTTTAATGACAAACATCTTAATTATAGCGAAATCATGATATCATACCAAAAATGGGGTATGTCCTGCCATCTATATTGTAACGTAAAAAGCTTTTACAGTTTCCTGTAACTAATTTGTTTTTCTCACCTTTTCTTATCAGATTCTTTCTTGCAAAGAAGTTCTGTTCGGTCATCTATGGTTCTGTTACAGAACATAAGCTTTCTCTGATCTGCTTATGTGTTGACGTTTGAATGTCAAACATCTTTATCATTGGGAAATCATGATGTTTAATATTATATTTTGAAGTGATAATAATGAGTAATATTATTTGTTAGACATGTTTTGATTTTAAAGCGTCATTCAAAGAACTGGTGTGTCATATTTTGATTTTATACAAAATGACGTAAACACAAAGTATAAATCACAATCCACACAACATGGATTGTGGAATAAATTACAAAATTTATTGAAATTCAGGGGTCACCAGAGATATGGAGGTGGGTCCATATCTCTGGGGGTCACGGAGATCAAAAAGGCGCATGATAAATAAAGAACATATGATTTTGCGCGTGCGCCGTGTTACTTAACGTGTTTACCAACAAAGACAGATTTTTAGATATGTCCAAGTAACTTATATTACTTATATTATGTCCGCGGTCAGATACAAGTGTTTTAATTATTAAGTGGCGTCGTACTTAACATCGAACAAACAGGAAGCATGAAAATTGATTTTAGCTTGGAGAAGTTGATTTTCTTTTTGAGCCTTTGGAGTGTGGGATGTGCCTCTTTGAACCCCATTATTTTAATACCAGGTGACGGTGGGAATCAATTGGAGGCGAAGTTAAACCGCACAAATGCCGTGCACTACATTTGCGAAAAAGTCAGCGATTATTTTAACATTTGGCTCAATTTGGAGCTTCTCGTTCCACTGGTAATTGATTGTTGGATTGATAATATAAAACTCGAGTATAATAATGTAACAAGAACCACGAAAAGCCCGGATGGGGTGGAAATTAGAGTGCCTGGGTTTGGAGGCACGGAAACTGTGGAATGGTTGGATCCTAGTCATGCTTCAAGCGGAGCATATTTTAAAGATATTGTGAATGTTTTGGTTAATAATGGTCATGTAAGAAATAAGACAATTAAAGGGGCTCCTTATGATTTCAGAAGAGCACCTAGTAAGTATGGTTTTGTTAAATATAAACAGGGTTTTATCTATAACCTTGAGAAATCAAGGTCTGTAATTGTTATAAAGGGAATTAATGAATTAATAGTAATTATTATTTATGATTTGGTTGAAATTAACATTTCTACCCAATAATGTTAAGCATTCATATCTGAGAATTTTAAGATTATACATGTTTGTTTTTTATATTAAATAAAGTCCATTGGACTTGGTCCAACCAGAATTTATATTACTTTGATAGGTCATGAAAATTTCTTGATGAGTTTCCAGTAAATTTCCATACTTATTAAATTACCTATATTAAGAAAATTCCAATTTATAATACTTAAAAAATTAAGTAGGTAGGTACCTGATACATTTTTGGAATTTTTAGTTCACTTTTTATTTGTTTTCTTTTTAAAATTACTTACAAATAAAATTAAAAAAGTTTAAAATTAAGAGTTTAATAAAATAAATTGTATAATTATACTACCAAAGTAGGTACAGTTACGGAAAGAAGTAATGTCCATTTGAATGCTCCATTGTAATTGTTCAGAGGCATTCGGAAATAATCAACATCTGCCTCTTAAGGATTTACTACCTGCTCGTATTGCATTAATTATTTTGGGTATAATACATATTTAACTGTATTTTTATTAAATCGTTAATTTTTTGATATATTTTTGAATAGTTTTATAAACATTTATTTTATGAAAAAACTTTTAATAAGAACTTTTTAGGCTATAAATAATATTATTGTTGTAGTTTTTTAAAACTTACTTTACATTTTACAATACCTATAGATGTATAAACAGAAAATATCTTAAATACAAAAAACATAAATTATGTAGTCATAAAAGTAGGTAATAAATTTTACAGACCAAAGTTCTTTCGGACTAAAATGTTAAAAAGTATTTTAATTTAATTTCATATTAATATTTTTACTTAATGTAGGACAAATATTTAAATATTTGATAAAAAATATTATATAATTAGGTACCTAATATTAGACTTATACCTAGTATTAGACTTATACAAAAAAAATCGAATATTTATTTTTAAAGTACCTCAAAAATATTGTTCAGAATCTCAAAAAAATGGTCCTGTTAAAATGTAAGCTCTTAATATTACATTTACGGGTCCTTCATCGGGAATTTTTATTTCCCTTTAAAATAATATGAGATTTTTTAAAATACTTTAAAATTGTATAACTCGGATTAGTAAAACTGAAACAAATTTTGGTAGGGCTCTTTTAAAAGGTATCCAAGGTAAAAGTTGAATTTATAGAAATTTTCAAGATTTTCAAACTTTTTCAGCGAAACAAAATTTATGGTAAAATTTAGTAGGACCCTTTTTAGGAAAATATTATCTAAAACCATGAGCAAAGAAAGCTGCCTTTTTATTTAAAAAGAAATGGTAAATAATTACATTAATAATTATAGTTGAAGCATGGCATTCCCAAAGGGTTTGGACCCAATTTGGTCAAATATTATATTATAATTTAAATATAGTCTATGTGCCATGCAAAACGACTAAAAAAAATGTCTCCATATTATTTTTGTATTTTAAAGATGGATGGATTTTCATTGATTTCTCACAATTTTATTTTTGACACTTAGAGCCTTTGGGAATACCAAGTTAAATTATTATAATAATTATAAATTTATGCCGTTAACATATTTTATTGAATTTTTATACATTGAAATAAGTTGGTATTGGGCAGATATTTCATAAAACAAGTAATGAAAACTAAAATGTTGATGATAGTAGGTATATTATTATACGAGAGATAATGCAGGCTATTATTCAAAAGGATAAGGTTTGCATGTCGAGCCGTCAGGCGAGATACGTAATTCATCCGAGTAAATAATGCGCATTATTTCGAGTGTAATACTATGTTTTTTCTACTCCAATTAAGTAATTATCATTGATAACAAAATTTATTATAACCTCAATTTCTTCCTACTTTAAAGATCATTATAGTCGCCCCTCGTATATATAAATAAATCTGACATCTGTCAACCTTATTTTTTTCTAATTTAAAACCCGATTGGTTCAAATAACAGTGAATATTAAAATAAGCCAATCACTGATACCTAACAACGTGAATATAATAATAATATAATATAATTCACTTTGATAGGCCGGGCGGTTATATTCGTTACCATTATTTACGCAAAAAAAAACAAAAAATTTCAATAATATGCAATAGAAGTAGAAAAACGTATTAATAGTGCACAACATGCATTTTAGTTTAATTTATAATTATTTTAGTATTAAATGTCTATTATATAATATAATATTTCATTTAAATATATTATTTTATTAATAACAACTTATTAAATAATATATAGTTTATTTAATAAGTTATAGAACATATATTATATTTAAATTATTTCAGAATCAATGTTATTCCTTAAATATTTAATTATTGCATAAAAGCTTAAAAGTCAAATGAAATGTGCTTAAAAAGAATGGTAAATAGCAGGTAGGTAGAATTATTGAGCTTAAAAATAGATATGTTAATTTTATTAGCAAAACCCGAATGCTTCCGAACAATTAAATACAATGGAGCATTCAAATGGACATTACTTCTTTCCGTAACTGTACCTAGGTATAGCTGGTCAATTCTCATATAACTTGTTCCGATGCTCTATCCACTTATTTTTGTGAAAACTAATTCTCGCTCAAGGTTTTTTTTTAGTGTAATAAGCATGTAGCATTTCAAGGTAATGGGAACTTAAATTATGACAACCCTAATCTATTAATTTTTTCCTAAAATGCAGGCTTTATGTTGCAAATGTCACATAAGTTACCGGTCACCAACTGCAATATCCTAACATCGATGAATATTTCAACAAAATGGCCGTTCAAACAACTAATGTTAGTGCTTGATTAACTAAAAATTGACTTAAGATTGACAAAAAATTATTTTATCCGAAATCGGCAGTAAAGTAGTCAACAATCGTAAATTAAAATAAATCGGCAGTAAAGTTCTACTTTACTGCCGATTTCGGATAAAATAATTTTTCGTCAATCTTAATTAAGTCTATTTTGAGTTAATCAAGCACTAACATTAGTTGTTTCAACAGCCATTTTGTTAAAATATTCATCAATGTTAGGATATTGCAGTTGGTGACCAGTAACTTATGTGACATTTGAAACATAAAGCCTGCATTTTAGGAAAAAATTTATAGATTAGGGTTGTCATAATTTAAGTTCCCATTACCTTAAAATGCTACTTGCTCATTACACTAAAAAAAACCTTGAGCGAGAATTAGTTTTCACAAAAATAAGTGGATACAGCATCGAAACAAGTTATATGAGAATTTACCAGCTATACTTATAATAAAAAAATTATGAGTAATTTTTGAGTCATAATGTTTTATTTTTATATTTTATTTGTTTTGTTTTTATATATGTTTATTTTAAAAGATAAAAATCCATTTTTAAATAACATTTTCAAAATAAAAAGTTTTGATGTTTAATATTACCTACATACAGTTTTTTTATTCCTAATTTGACAAGTTCAAAAATTTGGGGTCTAGCTGGCAAATTTCAGGGACCCTAAATTTATAATTGGCTGTATTGAGTAAAACAAATTAATTTAGTAGATTTATGCAGATTTGACATTTGACAAAGCTATAGTTATATCTTCAGCCCGTGACTAAAACGCCATAAAGTCACAGCTTGTCAATGTAAATTTAAAAGATCAATTAGGGCCATGGAAACATATACAATAATGTGTGTTTTAAAGGTGGGAGTAGATGAAAAATATTTTTTATTTTAAAATTAAATTTTAATGTGTTTGTATTTTTATTTTAGAGTTTAAACAAAGATTAAATATACTTTTAGAAAAGTATATTTAATCTTTGGTTTAAATATAAAATGAAAAATCTCTGATAACATTTTTGTTTGGAAATTCAGGGACCCTAAATTTATAATTGGCTGCATTGAGTAAAACAAACTAATTTAGTAGATTTATGCAGATTTTTTTGACATTTGACAAAGCTATAGTTGTAACTTCAGCCCGTGACTAAAACGCCATTAAGTCACAGCTTGTCAATGTTAATTTAAAAGATCAATTAGGGCCATGGAAACATACAATAATGTGTGTTTTAAAGGTGGGAGTAGATGAAAAATATTTTTTATTTTAGAATTTAATTTAATTTTAATGTGTTGTTTGTATTTTTATTTTAGAGTTTAAACAAAGATTAAATATACTTTTAGAAAAGTATATTTAATCTTTGGTTTAAATATAAAATGAAAAATCTCTAATAACATTTTTGTTTGGAAAAGGTTTATATGTTTTTATACTTTTATGTATAGTGTAACGTTTTTAACTGTTCGTAGTGTGAATAAAAACACGCACTGGTTAATTAACGAACTTAACTATTTATTTAATAACTTAACTACACTTAAAACACTATAAAACTAACTAAACACTTAACTACTAATTATTTATATATCACTATTGTTCAAGAGTCTATTTATTTGCACTTATATTTATTTATTTCGCCGCGAGTACCAAATCTTAACTGACCGCCGTGTGCTGCTCCGTTTCTTATATATTCAGCGCCAAGGTCTTCTGGAACATTCCAGCGAGCTCCACACTCTCGATTGTTCGAGCGCTGAGTCACCGGCGATGACTCATCGGCGATGACTAACCGGCGATGAGTCATCACTCCGATATCCAGAGCGGTACTCGCTACATTGCCCCCGTCTTAAAACATTTTCGTCCCGAAAATGGTCCTCAGCTCCATGGCGATATTTGCATAGAGATCCAAACTTGCATTGTGACGTCCTATAGAAGTAGCAGTCTACGGTCTTCCTTCCGGTTGTTCTTTTAGGGTTGTGGCAACAGACAAGAATGTGTATGCCACTAAATCTGAAGATAACTTCCACCATACTTCTAATTATTCTCCAGTCCAAACCGTCAAGTCCACAAGCAATCTTTGGTATCGCCAGGTTCATGATGTCCTTGGACAAAAGGATATCCCTCAATTTATTTAA